ATTTCAGCTTGAAACTCTGACATATAATATACTTACGAAATTATAGTAAACTTGTAGTAAAATTGTAGCTAAATTGAATTCTGATGAAGTTATATATTTTTTTTATTTGAATATTGTATGAAAGTTTAAAAATAGTTGTATGATGATAAAATCTAGTTGCCTCCCCATGTATATTTTGAGAAACTGGTGATATTTGACATAACAACACCTCTTGGCATTTAACTCTAATATTCACACAATTAAGCATCACGAAATTCTTTTTTAGAAAATGTCTTTCAACGAACAATATTTATCTGATTATGCGATCAGCTTAACATAATTGATTTCCTTAAACATGCATTACTTTTCGTAATCGGAGGAAATCCAAACTACATCATAAGCACCGAAAGCCTGCAGGTTTATCACATAACCAACTTGAAAATAGGGCTCCTTATACTTAGACAAATGGCAATACTCAGCACAAGTACTGAGAATTGGCACGGAGACATTTTAACTTATTGATATTTTTAACAATTATAATCACAAGTTATTTGGTCAAATTACATAATCAAATTTTACCCTAAATAAAATTATAGTCAATTGCGACTTGGAATGTAATATTGAATTAGTCACTTGCATTTGATTTTGTAATATTGAATTGCAACTAACTATACAATATACATTTATTTACAACTAATCTACAACTTTCATACATTATTTCTACTCATTTAAATACAACTACAATATCATACAACTTAAATATAATTTTTATACAAATTTTATACAATATATCTTTTGTATAATTTGTATATATTTTGTGTGTGGTGTGTGTTTCTTCCTCTCTAAAATTTCAATCAAAACTTACTCTTTTGATACAATTTTGATACATATCCACAACTTTATGTAAAAAGATAGTATTGATAACTAAAATACAAATTTTATACAACAAGTCATACATTATACAACTATTTTTCAACTTTCATACAACATTCAAATAAAAAAATATATAACTACAACAAAATATAATTTACCTACAATTTTACTACAACTTTACTACTATTTCGTAAGTATATTGTATGTCATGTCTTCTTCTTCTCCTTCTTCGAGTTTTAATCTGAAATTCAGCCAAAATCAAATCTAATCTTCACCAAAACACCCTCAAAATTGAGATATAAACTCCAAGCAATATTCCCAATTGTTTGCAACAACACCCGATCCAAACAAATAATAATTTTTGAAACCCAAATTCGAATTCAAAGCTTTATGATAGATTAGTGTTCGAATCTTCAATTCCTACGACCTGAAGGTTACTTCAATAGGTTGATTGACAGAAGACAACTTTCAAGCTTACCTTATGGAGAGAGAAAGACGGTGAGAGAGAAAGATGAAGAAAGAAAGAAAAATTGATGAGCGATGCGGCAGTGAGGAAAGATGAGAGGAGAGAAAAAAGGAAAAGGATATAATTAAATCTCTAATTCAAGGCACTAATAATGGATTGTATATAATTTGTGAGTATTCCTTATTTAGGGTGGATAATACACAAAACTAGGACAACTTTAGTACATAAGTTTTAAATATTGTATAGAAAGGTAAGAATCCCTAATATTTATATTAGAGTAAGCTTGGATTGCGGGCCTGACCTTACCTGAATGTCGACTACTTTGGTAAAAATTGCACGGGACGCCCTATTTGGTCGCCCCCATTTAACCTATACCCATTCTTTTAAAAAGTTTTAACTTGTACCCACTTTTTAAACAACTTCAGCCCCCTTTCTCCTCATCCTTCTCCTCCTTTGTTTCTTCTTCTTCTTCTTCTTTCTTTCTTCTGCTGTTGTTGGTGCTGCTATGAAACTTCAGTTCATGGGATGATTGCCATAAATATGTTTATCAGATTATTTAAAAATAAATTATAAATAATTACGTAAGTTAGTAGACAATAATTTGTGAATATTTCCACGTACGTAAGTTAGTAGACAATGATAATTCTGTTCTTTTCACGTTTAATGTTTCCAAAATTTATGATTTAGATACTGTTGGCAATCTGATTATTTATTTAGTATGTTAGAAAGCTTTTTCAAAAATTTCAGCTTATATACTGCTGAAGTTTTTACAAATGAACTAATTAACTTCAGCATCTTCTGCTGAAGTTTTTGAAAAAGCTTTATGACAAAACTAATGAATCCAGGACTAAAAAACTTCAGCTTTTAGTGCTGAAGTTTTTACAAATGAACTAAATAACTTTAGCATCTTCTGCTGAAGTTTTTGAAAAAGCTTGTCCGGGAGCATATTTAGTGCTGGAGTTTTTATAAATGAACTAAATAACTTCAGCATCTTCTGCTGAAGTTTTTGGAAAAGCTTAATGACAAAACTAATGAATCCAGGACAAAAAAACTTCAGCTTATTTAGTGCAATTACAAACAAAAACTTCAGCAAATAGAGAACAAAACTTCAGCTACTATGCTTAAATTCAGCAATTACAAACAAAAACTTCAGCAAATAGAGAACAAAACTTCAGCTACTATGCTTAAGTTCAGCAATTACAAACAAAAACTTCAGCACACTTGGTTCAGCATACTTGCTACTTCAGGCCCGTCTACTAGAATGCTGAAGTTTTGCGTGATTGCCTTTGCTACTTCAGCCCTCTATGCTGAAGTTACGCGAAAAAGTTGATACGCTTGCAATTTTTTTACAAAACGGGTACAAATTAAAACGTGACCCAAAAAGCGGGTATAGATGCAGATGCCCCACTACAATAGACTCTTTTCCTCTCTTTTTTTTTTTTTTTTTGTTAAACCATTTTCCTCCTTCCTCACCAACGAATTGTCCCTTTCTCTTTTCTTTCTCTTTCTTTCCTTTTCTCCTTTTTTTTTTTTGTTTCCTCATAATAAGAGCCCGTTTGGACATAAGGAATTTTTTTCCTTTTTTCCAAAATTTTTTTTTGCTTTTTTTCAAAATCAGCGAAGATGCATTTTGGAAATTTTCGAAAATTTAAAAAATTTCAAAAAGCTGTTTTTCAAAATTTTCACTCACAAAACTTCAAAAACAACCCAAAATTATATCCATGTCCAAACACAACTCTAAATTTTCACTTGAATTTTTTCTTCCTATTTTAGAATTTTACAATTCTTATGTCGAAACGCCCACTAAGTCAACTTTTTGGATATAACATCACCAATTGTTGAAATTTGATTATTTTTCTTTAGTGTTATTAACAGAATAATTTTAGACTGTTAAAAAAAAGTTTAGTTTAATTTTGGAAAATGTCTATTCAGAAACACCTATGCATGAAAATCTTTTCCACAAAACAATTATTTATACTCATGTAGCCTTATGAAATTCAGAGTACACAATTTATCATCTAACACAAAATCAAGCGTAGGTGGCCAATATTTAGCAATTGCTATGAAGAAATCACATACAAGAGTTTTTTTATAAGAATCAGAACATTAAATTAAAAATCTTAAGATAATGACTGTCATGATATTTGCACGATTTTTATAATTTGAATGTCCTTTGATTATTTATTTGGAGGTGCTATTAATATTTTTAGATCATGTATAACCTAATATTATGCAGGCTTTACACGCGGATCAAACACTCTTTTGCTCTTATTTTTGTTTTTACTAAGTTATAGACGTCTAAAGTAGCTCAAGGATTGGAACATCGACCAGAGAAGTTATATTAAGATCAATAAAGTGAAATTTCATTTATTATTAAAAAAAGAATTCCTCCTTTTTTGAGGTGTCACTACAAATAAGAAAGTAGAAGTGAGTGACCCAGGTCAATGAGCACTGCATTGGGGTGGGCTTTTATTTGTTGAAATGGGCTTGACCTTGTATTCTATGATGAAATGGGTCCCAAAATTCATAATTCATACATACTTTCTATTCTGGTTGCTGCTGTCATTGACCTCTAAACAGTCTTGCACAAGGCTTGAAGCATTTGCAGAAAGTTGAAAACAACTTTTCCATTATCGAAACAATTGAATACTAACATAACATGTTACATAACTAGATTTTGCTTTTCTCTGTTATGAAAATTATTGGAATGGGCCAATTCTCACATTTAATAAATACTAACATCTTTGCAACGATGAGCAAAAGCGGAGTCAATTTTGACAGATAATCTTCAGACTGCACGATTCGAGAATCTGTAAACAATTCCCACTAATTGTCTTCATTTTGGTTTGCTTTGTTCTAAATAAATGATAACTACCAGCTACAGTTATGAACATATTCCGTTTCAATTTTTTCTACAAGAATTAACTCAAATAGTCGCTCACCCAATTACTGTTGGGAATATTGATCCTAGTCCAAATTAGCTAGATTGGTTATACTAGTTTTACTTTGTATTAAGCAAGGCCCACATAAGTTGTAATTATCTTTACTTCTTTTTTTCTTCAGTCTTGTATAGTGGGCCGAGTCCCCTATAGGTAGACCCAAGAGGTCTGATACAAACGATTGTAATTTTTCCATTCTACAGATGAAAGAGGTTCTTTTTCTCTCTCTCGACCACAGTAAACCCTAGCACAGTTTCATCGATTTCATCTCATTTCCGTTGTTAACATGGTATCAGAGCCCGGGATCTCATAGATCCGGTTGTCCTCTATCGTCCGATGTTACCCTAGAAGAGTATCACCGAAATTTTTGGTTGATCGGAAAATTTTCATCATCTCGTCAGTTTTTCATTTTTTTGTGAGATTGTTCGAGATTCGTTGTTCGTTTTTTGTTTATCTGTCTCCGGCTGGTATCTGAGGTCTTGATTTTCGGTTGCAACGATGTATCTCAGCATTCAACCGTGCCTAATGTTGAAGTCGTGCTTCTTCTGGATTTTCGGAGCATAGCTGGGTAAAATTCTTTTCATTTCAAGGTCGTATTCTTCCGGTTGCGAAGAATTGTGGTATATTCCTTCCTTTTGCTTAATATTTGTCATCTCTGTTTGCATGCCTTAGGGTTCACCGAATTTTTTAGAAATTGAGATTTTGTGCGTTTGAGTCTGCTCATTTCTTAGAAATTTTGACTAATGGCTATCTCGTCGGGTACTTCTTCCTCTTCTTCTATGGATAATTCTGAACATGCCCCTACTAGTCGTCTTCCTTTTCATCTTGATGATTATACGCACCCATGCCACCCTCTATATGTGTATCCTTCTGACCTCCTAGGATCTTTTTTGGTCACTGAGCCTTTTGATGGCTCTTGTTATGGGAGTTGGTGAAGGTCTATTTTAGTGGCTTTATCCGTTAGGAGCAAGCTGGAATTTATTCATGGAACCTCTGAGAGACCTCTAGAAGGGTCTCCTCTTCTTCGCCAATGGCAGAGATGCAATGATTTGGTTGTTGCGTGGCTGGCCAACTCTGTGACCAAGGAAATTCATCGTACTGTTGTCTATTCTGAGTTTGCAAAGGACATTTGGAAGGAACTTGAGACCAGATATGGCAAAGCTGATGAAGCCAAGGTCTTTGAGTTAAAAAAGGAGGTGGCTCATATTACTCAGGGTGCCCTTGATATTCCTTCCTACTTCAACAAACTCAAACAGCTTTGGGATGAGTTAGCCTCTCTCTCTGCCAGTTCTGATGATAGGTGCACCTGTGGAGGCAGTCTTAGGTCTAAGGAAAAACAAAAGGTCTATCAGTTTCTCATGGGGCTCAATGATACTTATGTTCAAGTCAGAAGTAACATCTTAATGATCAAGTCCCTGCTTCCATTGACACAGTCTACAGTATTCTTCTAAGTGATGAGAAACAGAGGCAGCTGTCTACTCGCTCTCATTTCTCTTCAGAATCAGTTTCTTTCAATGCTGGGTCTTCTAAGCAGCCTTACACTCCTAGGGTGAGTTTTGACAATCAAAGGGCTTCAATCACTTGCAAATACTATAAGAAACCTGGGCATAGCATTGATAAGTGCTACAAACTCCATGGCTATCCGCAAAATTTCAAATTCTCTAAGACTGCTGGTCCCAGGAAAGCTTCAACACATAGTGCAGCTGATTCTTCTGCATCTCAGGCATGTGTGTCTCATTCCAATGGTGGTGTTGTCGCAGCTGGTTTCTCTGATTCTTCTTCTGCTTTTCCTGGCCTAACAAAGGACCAATGCTCTCAGCTGATCCAGCTCTTGCAATAGACTCATGTCACTCCTGACTCTTCTCAATCACTCATGGCTTCTGCACATTTTGCTGGTAGGATAGCTACCCATAGTGTTCTTCTTAAGCCTGCTTTGTTTTCACAAGTTAGTATTTCTGATTGGATCATTGATTCTGGGGCATCTGACCATATGACATCTCTCAAATCTCTCCTCTTCAATATTCAACATCTTACTATTCCTTGCCTTGTTTCTCTCCCAAATGGTTACAAAGTTAAAGTTACCAACTCTGGCTCCTTAACTTTGTTTCCTAATTTCACTCTTCATAATGTCCTTTATGTTCCTAGCTTTCACTACAATCTAATTTCAGTTCATAAGTTGGTTGATCAGTTTGATGGCATTGCACAATTTACTAAGGTTTTATGTGTATTAGAGGGCCCTTCTCTTAAGAAAGCCTCTGGATCTTGGTAAACTGGATAATAGGCTCTACAAGCTGCAAGTTACCCATGTTTAGGCCTGATAACCGTGTTTCAAATTCTGTTCTTTCTTCTGTATGTACTGTTTCTGGTAGTTCTACTGTTTCCTCTTGTAATTCTGCACCTGCTGTTTCTAATAAAATGGATATTGTTTGGCATTTCAGACTTGGTCACATACCATTTTCTAGAATGAAGGGCATTCCTGTTCTTAGCCCTTGTCTCTCACCTAAACAATCATTTCCTTGTCCTGTTTGTCCTTTGGCTAGGCAAACCAGACTCCCTTTCCCTGATAGCACCATTCACTCTACTGCTCCTTTTCAATTGATTCACATTGACACTTGGGGTCCTTATCACTCTTCTACTTCCCATGGTGCCAAGTATTTCCTTACTATTGTGGATGATTATTCTAGAGCTACTTGGACTCATTTGATGGGTGCTAAGAGCAATGCCTTTGATCTCCTCAAAGCTTTTATTGCTATGGTTGAAACACATTTCCATACTCAGGTTCAGACAGTTAGAAGTGACAATGCCTTTGAACTGGGATCTAGTACTATTGGCTCTAAGTTCTTTTCTGCCAAGGGTATCATCCATCAGACCACATATCCCCATACTCCACAACAAAATGGTGTTCTGGAGAGAAAGCATAGATATTTACTTGAAACTGCTAGGGCATTGTTATTTCAATCCAAACTTCCTATTTCTTTCTGGGGTGATTGCATCTTAACTGCCACCTATCTCATTAACAGATTCCCTTCTCCCTTGTTACAACACAAAACTCCATTTGAATTGCTTTATAGTTCACCTCCTGCTTATGGCCATCTTAGGACTTTTGGTTGTTTGTATTATGCTGCTGTCCCTAGAGTTCTTAGAGATAAGTTTGATCCCAGGTCTGTTCCTTGTATTTTTCTGGGGTATCCCTTTGCTAAAAAAGGTTACAAATTGTATAATCTTGTCTCCAAGTCTTGTTTTGTTTCAAGGGATGTTCAGTTTCATGAACATATCTTCCCTTTCTCCTCTGGTCCTTCATCCTTTCCTTTTGTGTTTACTTCTTCTCCCTCTTTTCCTACTGATTTCCATCATGTCCCATGTCCTGGTCCTTCTCTTTCTTCTTCATCTCCTTCCTCTTCCTCTGTCCCTTCTACCTCCTCTCCTCTACCTCCTTCTGACTCCCAGGCCTCATCTTCTCCTGTTGTTGCTCCTGTTAGGAAGTCCTCCAGGCCTCATAATCCTCCCTCTTATCTGAAGGATTATGTTTGTTCTTTTCCCTCCTCTTCTCCTTCTTCCTCCCTCTCAGCTTCCTCTTCTTCTCAGCCTTTGGCTGAACCTGCCACTTATTCTCAGGCTGCCGGTATACCTGAGTGGCAGGAAGCCATGACCAAGGAATTTGAAGCTTTGGAGGCTAATGGCACTTGGTCCATTGTTGAACTTCCTCCAGACAAGAAACCCATTGGTTGCAAGTGGGTGTATAAGGTCAAACAAAAGGCTGATGGGAGCATTGAGAGGTATAAGGCTAGATTGGTGGTTAAGGGGGACACTCAGGTTGAGGGTATTGATTTTCATGAAACTTTTTCACCTATTGTGAAAATGTCCACCATCAAAACCCTGCTTGCTGTTGCTGTTAAGAAACAATGGCTAATGTTTCAATTGGATGTTAATAATGCCTTCTTACATGGTGACCTTGATGAGGAAGTTTTTATGAAGTTACCTCCTGGTTACCTTGTTTCTTGTCCTCCTTCTTCTGGGCAACAGGTTTGCAAGTTGCAGAAATCACTTTATGGTCTTAGGCAAGCCTCTAGGGAGTGGTATGCCAAACTCTCTCAAGCCCTGTCTTCTAGAGGTTATCAGCATTCTCTCAATGACTACTACCTGTTCACCAAGGTTTCTGGGGATTCTATTGTGGTCTTAGCTGTCTATGTGGATGATATTATTTTAACTGGACTGATAGTGCTGAGATTCTTGCCCTTAAATCTTTCCTTCATCAGCAATTCAGAATCAAGGATTTGGGTTCCCTCAGTTATTTTTTGGGTATAGAGGTTTTCTATTCAGGATCCGGAGTTCGCCTGCATCAGAAGAAGTTTCTTCATGACCTTCTTCTTGAGTTCCATTGTTCTGATGTCACCCCTGTGGTTTGTCCCTCCCACAGTCAGTCGAGCTCAAGGCAAAGGAGGGGATTCCTATTCCTAAACCTGTAGTGTACAGGTCCTTGGTTGGGAAGCTGAATTTTCTCACCCACACCAGGACTAATATCTGTTTTGCTGTGCAGCATCTTTCTCAGTTCATGCAGTCCCCTTGTGTGCCTCATTTGGAAGCGGGTTTGCATTTGTTGAAGTACTAAACGGGTATTGCTGAGTTTGGCATATTTCTCAACAATACTCCTGATCTTTCTGTTGCTGCTTTCTGTGATAGTGATTGGGCTGCTTGCCCAGACACTAGGGGATCTGTATCAGGTTTTTGTGTGCTCTTGGGGGGGTAGTCTTGTGGGTTGGAAGTCTAAGAAACAGCCTGTGGTGTCCATGTCTTCTGCTGAAGCTGAATATAGAGCCATGAGCAAGGCTGTTAGTGAGGTTACTTGGCTACACCGGTTGCTCTTGGATTTGGGTGTTTCCTGTCCTTCTGCTATTCCCCTGTTCTGTGACAGCCAAGCTGCTATCCACATTGCCAAGAACCCTGTTTTCCACGAAAGGACTAAGCACATTGAGTTGGACTGTCATTTGGTCAGAACAAAGCTTGCTGAAGGTCTTATTCAACTACTTCACACATCCTCCCCTACTCAGCTGGTTGATATCTTCACCAAATCTTTGGCTGGTGTTGCTCATCATGGTTTCCTCTCCAAGTTGGGGGTTTTGCCACCCTCCAACTTGAAGGGGGGTGTTGGAAATATTGATCCTAGTCCAGATTAGCTAGATTGGTTATACTAGTTTTACTTTGTATTGGGCCAGGCCCACATAAGTTGTAATTATCTTTACTTCTTTTTTTCTTCAGTCTTGTATAGTGGGTCGGGTCCCATATAGGTAGACCCAAGAGGTCTGATACAAATGGTTGTAATTTTTCCATTCTACAGATAAAAGAGGTTCTTTTTCTCTCTCTCGACCACAATAAACTCTAGCACAATTTTCATCGATTTCATCTCATTTCCGCTGTTAACAATTACTTAAACTAAAAATAGTTGATGAACGGAAACATAATTTTTTAGTCAAGTGGATATATTTCGGTTGATGATAATAGTGATTTAAATAGTCTTTCTACTCTAGTATCACACTGAAATATGTGAGGAGTTTCAGCTAAAGATGTTCAATACCTCATAAAATAGCTTTAGGTTCGGATTCAAATGCTTATGGCCAATTTTCCCGAAAAGATTTTGGACCTATTGATCTCCTTTTCCAACCTCTCCCAAAATTCCTTTTGAACTTCCATCCTATTTAGCTTGACCTTTTCTATGTCAGTTGGAATTAGGTGACACTTGTTAACAACTACACCTATTTAAGTTTTTACTCTGTATAATATAAGTTAAGCATCTACATTTAGAATAAATAGAAGCAAAAAGGTATTTGCAACTAAATCCAAAATTTATAGTTATGCACCTGTTTAGATAATTAAAACTTTTTGAAGCAACTATGTACAAATAATTGATTGGGCCTTTCACTCTAGGCGAAATATCAACTCAGTCCCCGTAGAAATGCATTATGGGTCAGAATGGGTGGGCTAATCTTTTGGGTATAGAAATTTTCGTAAATACAACTTCTATTAGAGTATATTAATTAGGAATTTTTATCTCATATAGCAAAGGTTAACACCTTATTTATTTTAAATAAATACCATTTAAAAAAATTATATTCTATAGATGCCTTTTAAGGTTTATAGCAAAATATTTAATTTTGGTTACCTCCTAGCCCTAAGCCACTAAATACGCTAATCAGTTACACTATTTTCTTTCTCTCTCTACTTTGATACATCCCATTCTCTTCCCCCATCCCATTAAAATTTCCGATCTCTTCCTCCTTTCACCGGATTTGTGCAAAGAACACAGCAAACCCACGAACCTTTCTCAGAGAACAATTGTAGTTTGTTTGCCAGAGAACAGTTGTTTCGTCTTCCATAAAACTAAACACCATGTACATGTTTTCCATAAACAAACCAACACGGAAAAAGCAAAACTGTTTGCAATCTGTTCCGTCTGTTCCTTATTCTTAATGATATAACTACGAGAAAGTTCACAATTCTCAGCCCCTTCTTTGGTTTGTACCAGTTTTTAGCCTATACGAGAAAGTTCAAAATTGATTCTTGAAGATTGCTATGTTCAAGATTCTCACCAACAACAGCAGCCGCCGACATTAAACTGATTCTTGAACAGCAGCCGCCGACATATAATCCGGTTGGTTTGTTCTTGAACAAAGACGATGGAGTTTGGGGCTGAGCAACTTGACTTTCTATTGATATATTTCAATGTATTTTCATGTATTTCATTGTATTCATTGTCTTTTTTTTCATTGTAATTCAATGTGTCTCGTTGTATTCCATGTATTTCATTGTATTCACTATCCTTTTTTTCTCATTGTATTTCAATGT